GCTACGTTTGCCCTGATATTCTCAAAGAATTCATAAAATATGATACGGATGGCTCAAAGTGGTTGAAAACTTATCATGGTATTAATAATATCACCAAGAAAGAGTTTGTCGTCGACGTAGGATACGAACGTTTCCTTGGTCCAGAAATTTTCTTCCATCCTGAGGTTTACCTTCATTGCATCTTGTTTTTCGTGTTGTAGGGAAATTAAGTCTGAGTCACCGCAGATAATCCCTTTCTTCGCAGAACTATTTGCTTTCCAGTTCGCTAATCCGGACTTTACTACGCCTATTTCGGATATAATCGATAATGTTATACAACAGTGTCCCATCGATGTTCGTCGAGGCTTATATGAAAATATTGTTTTATCAGGAGGTTCCACAATGTTCAAGGTAGTTTTGATGGAAATGGTTTCGTAGGGCTTTGCCGCAAGAGCATTGTATCGTATGTTATTCGTAAGAACACAAATTATTCCCCAAATTCAGTCGCGCTTAGAACAACGTAGTGTGCGAGGTAATGCGACAGTAGTGATAAATTGATACTCTTCGATTTGTACCAAAATAATCCCCTGCTATGTCACAACCACGTTTTGCCATCCCTCAAACCGCGTAAAGACATTGTGAAACTGGAGAAACGGGACGTAGCATGATGAAGTAAATGAATAATGTGTACAATTGCTAAAAAAACCAGCCTCAGCCTCTGTACCCTTCGAATCCGTGGATTAACGTGCCTAGAAACTTATCGTTAGGGCGCTTATCGATAGAGTTTGTTATCAGGGCTGAGTCATTAAAATTGAATCATGGACCATAGCGTTCAAGAAAACCAAACCATGGATCTTTCATTAGTTTACCTCTGTGCGAAGTAAACTTTCCTGACGCTCACGCTCTCCATGAGTCGTTTTGTTGGCGACGTGAGATTCAAAGATTCAGAGGATTGAAGAATTGCGCAATCTGCAAATGAGTTTAGATTCGAGTCGGTAGATTCCTTCCAACTGGACAATTGGAAATCAATACGTCTGAAATCTTTTGTGATTCTTCCGTTCCTTGCTGATTTTGCGAAAAAAACGTCATTTTCGAAGCTGTTTTAGTTTGATGTTTGCTCTTTGACGCCACAGTGCGCGCTCCGAAAGTTATCACAAGAGTGTAGATCATCGGCAAAAATCAGGCACCAGACGGGACTCGAACCCGCATCCTCCGCTTACCGAGCGGTTGCGTTATCCATTACGTCATGAACAAGAGCGGCCTGGGAGCGTATTTGATAACAAACGGCCCGATGAATGGTGCAGGTTCGAGTTCAGTTTGCGGCCTGACTTTTGTCCATAACTCAGCACTCTTGTGATAACAAACATTTTCCCCTTGACGGACTCTTGAATTCTCCTTATTTCACATGCTCCATATTCCGCCGCGAAGTATGAACGCTGCTTGAGCAACTTTCGAGAATTTTCTTCAGCAATGACATTTAAGGATTTCGCTCGTAAACTTCAACGAGATATCAAGCGAATCAGTGAGAATAGACTGGCTCTTAGTGAAGCTCTGAGTGGCGGACATCTAAAGGTCAGTTTTCCAATGGTTATTCCTAATATCAAGCTGCAACATTCAAACGCCAATTTCCCCTTGCACCTAAGCGCAGATCGATGATTCAAGATCAATATCACACTAAAATGCCAACGATACGTGTTTGGTTTGGAGATCAATGGTTGGCTCTACGCCGAAGCGTTTGTTTAGTGGCAGGAAAGCGGAGACTCCTAGCCTATATTTGTTTTATCGCAACCCCATTTCGTATTTCTGAGATTCGCTCCGCCATATTTTTTAATGGTCTGGTTCCTATTTTTTGTGATAATTTAATCGCCCTGTTTTAGCCTGAATTCTATAAAGTATCACATACGAAAGAAGAATATATGGAAAGAGGTCCTTCCATTTGCCGGCACAATCCCGTCTTTGGAGCGCTCACATAACAAAGTGTTTGGTCATATGATTGTATTGGATTACAAACGATTGTCTCCTGCAATCGAGTGCTGTTTTGGCATGAGCTCTTATTATTTATTTATTTTTCGAGTCATTGTATTCCCTTCTGTGCTTTATAGGTGATTGCATCGTTGTAACTTTGACCATTCGCTTTTACTGTTTGTTGTTGATTTATCCCCAAAGCCTTTGCTCTTTGATAACATAGTTGGTATGGATCGTTGGCAGGTATCCTAGCAGGGCGGCCCTGCTTCCCTTTTTTCTCGTGTTTCTTTGGAATTCTGATGTGTCTCTTCTTTCAAATTTGGTAATTCGTAGGAAAAAGAAAAGCGAATAAAGCCCTGTGGATTGCTAGGCTTTGTGCTGACCACTCCAGGCGATGCCTTCAGCTGTACTGCTCACGTAATATGAAGTCTCTAATTCACTTGTATAGTTCTAGAAAATGAATAAATTTCTTATAATATTGTTGTTAATCAATGGTTCTGGTGTTACTAGATGACATTGTATCATATCAATTGTTTGGGCAGTTTTTCGCTGAAGCTACGCTTTGCGATAGCGTCCACCAGCGTTTTTCGGGCAGTTTTGCTCAAGTTCAAAAGTGACCGAGAAAACGTTGGTGTACGCTGGTGGACGCTGGCGTTCGCAGATTGGTACCTATACTTCGTTAGATCCCCGACATTCTGGCATACGCTGGTGGATGCTGCCGTAAAGTATGAACGCAGCTTAATGAAGTAACTACAAAAGACCTGTTCCAGATATTTGTATGGATCTTCCTATAGTTAATTATTCAAAAGAAGAATATGTAGAGACAAATTCTGGTAACAAGATATGTAAAGTTCATTCCACGAAAGACAGTACTATCTGTGGAACGCAGAACATAGTATTGAATGGAAAGGTCAGTGTCTTAGGGACATTTTTCAGTTCTCTTAAACCATCATATTGCATCTATAGTATTTCCGTACGATTGAAGTTTACTTCTTGGTGGAAACAATACCCTATCAATAATTAATACGGCTGCTGAGTCGCTGAGATATCTAATGTTAGTACCTGCTTTTTTTCGCTGGAGGAGTAGTGGCAGAGCCAGATCCTGGTGCGTGTCGGTCAGGAGACCTACGTTGCATCGCTGCAAAGAGTGTCATGCTTCAGAACCTAAGTGATCTAACATGGGCATGCTGTGCTGTGGCGATTGAACTGGCTGGGAAATATAATGTTTTTTCGCACCGTCGCCGCAGCCTGGAGCTCCAGAACGACATCCAGTTATAGCTCTGTTTATTTCCTTCACGTATTTATCGCTACAATAGTACCTTTCTGTAGCTCAGAGCTAGTGGATACTTTGGAAATTTTGACCCTACTCCTACTTACAACTGATTCAAAGTGCTTAGAACTACATCACTTCTGCGTGCTAATGTAGGTCGGAGTTACCATGCAACTGCACTGCATGACTACTCTCTGTGCTGCTTTGCCACGCTTGGCCGCGCAGACTGTGGTCATCTGCGCTTTGGACCATGGTGAGAGGAGGATGACTGATACGCGCCTCACCAAGGTTCTTTCAGACCAGTGGATTTTGTTAGCCATCGCTAGGAGAAATTCCTGCGAGGATCGCACTCGGTCGGTTTGCGTGAGGGAAGGAGTGGTACAGCCTTTAGATACCTTTCAGCCATCTGTCAGATTGTTGATTTTTCCAGTTGCCACTGCGCAGTTAACCATCCCACATTTCATAGTTGGTGGCGCGGCAAGCGCCTATATGTGCTGAATGCATACGAGAAGAACTTCTAAAAGGGAGGGCGCCCGGCGTTAGCTACTAACACCACGATCGATTGCACACCGAGCTGCCACCGCCTCCGAGTTTTGAATGTGTAGTAATGTTTCATTTTCAGAACATTGTCCAGAAAGATGTCATAATTCGTGGTGATCTGGCCGCTATACGAAGCGGGCGGTTTTGTATTATACGGCAAGGAACATTGATACGACCAAGTTCGAAGAAATTTAGTAAAGGAGTCACGTTGTTCCCAGTTCACATTGGAGACAGTTATGATCGAGGAGGAAGAATGCTTGATTTTTTTTTTTGTTATGGTGCTTGCACCCCTTCTAACTTTACATTATGTAGAATGGATAATGCGTTTACGAATCATTTTGACACAGGTCTGTGAAATGATCGACAGCATTCTCGTTTGAAAGAATGATCTACCAATTGTTCATGTTCTTTTTTTACCAGACATTTGAAGCATTCTTTAAGGATTGTGTGATTAGCGCAGCACAGATATGCTCATTCGTGCATATAGGCGCTGGATCAGTGATCAATTTTGGTGGAGCTGCGCGTGCTTGAAAGAGTGCTGTCGTGTCCTACCAGGAAGTGTAGTTGCTGCCGACTCCGTGTTCCCGCCGTATAGCACCATAGCCGGAAATCCAGGTTTGTGCTGATGAAGTCTTGAAGTCCTCTGTTAGAGTTATGAATAGTTGGGGATATCACTTCATCTCAGCTACAGTACTCAAAAACCGAATCGACGAAGAGCACTTACCAGTCGCGCGTTGCAAGTCAGTTGAGTACAAGACTCGGGGTTTCTGATCGGGTGAACCTGACATTTCATCCTTCCGTAGGTTTCTAGTACGTTCGACACCTAATAGTGGGATGGGATCAAAGAAGGATTCGTACACCGTCGGCGTATTTGCATGTATAGGGCGAATCGTATTTTCAAACGGCTTCGCTACTGTTATAGAAGTGGGATGCGTGGCGCTACCGCCAAGACGACGGTTGATTCAATCGCATAGTTTCGTAACACTTTTGCATCTTATCTTGTTAGCACACTTTTTGGCCTTGCAGATAATTAGTTTGACAGTTTGCTATATTCCCGAAAGTCCAAAAAAATTTTCACTTTCTCTTTGATACCACTCTCTTATTCTACAGCATTCGCTAATATATTGCTAACGGTGAGGCGGCTTGTTCCATTTCGTGCCTGTTTTTATTCTTGTTCATTTTTAGCAGCGAATCTTTTACATCAGTCCGAATTAACTGCTACTTCACCATTGCCTTCAATATAACCCTGTTCTGTAATCTCTCCAGATAAAGCCGTATCTTCTTGCTGCATTTGCTTCTGAACTTCTTGTTACTCCAATCGTCATCAGTTCGTTTCGGATGCAATTAGCATTACTTCTTTGAGCGGGCTTTATTTCCACTTTTCCTATTCGATAGCTCGATTTCTTTCGCTGAAACTCTGCCTACAGATTTTATTCGGTGTCCTGGTCACGGATATGACATTCGCTGTCAGCACAGGCGCCTGTGGCGCAAACAGGCGACAGCTTGGCCTGCCACGAACAGCTTTTCGACCGCTTTTCACCCAAACACCGATGAAACTTTGTAATTACTTATGGTTCGTTGATCCCTGATCACACAGCGCAGGGTATAGTGTGCTCAGCCTACAGGGTCGCCCTGGAGCGAGATGATTCCCTCCAGGCCAAGCCTCAGCTGAGCGCAGATGATCAGAGTTCCTTTGATTGGCGCCAGCGCCAAATATGTCATACTCGTGATCAGGATGTTGAAGAACCACGTACACAAATTTTCATCGACTTCGGTTGAGAAAGGAGCCGACGACAAAATAGTGCCAGAACCAAAAGTGAGCGTGATATTCGTGGTCAGAATATAAAATAACCCCCATATACAAGTTTTCATGGATTTCAGTGAGATACAGGTGCGCTGGCGCGCCGAATCTGGCGCAAATATCACCAAGCCGCCAAAACCTCTAGTCCGCAGAGGCTTAGGCCACTGAATAACCCCTGGACAATTATTGCAAAGAATTTTTTTGAGTTTCTTTGCGAAGCAATTGAATAGCGCGTTCGTTTCGTACAGGATTAAGTTTCCTGGGCCAGGATTGGAATTTTTCCTCTGAGCAACGCGCTTAGCAGAGCCTGCTTTCCTCACGAAGGTTCATTCTTACAGCGCACCCACAAGCATGCATACATACCTGACCCGTGGACGCCCACTGCTCCCGCACCGCCCACAAATGGACGCTGTATGCCTCGTCATTGCTTTAATTTGCTAAGCATGAAGCAAACCGCTGCATGGATATGTAGGTACGTACATGCAGCTGTGCTTACCGTAGCGGTTAGTGGCAAGATGCCTGGCTGTCCGACCCTTCTTCGCTGACCGTTTCGCTTAGTTTTTTTCGCCCTTTTCCCACTATGTAGCGCCCTGCTAGTAGTAGTTTAGGCCGAGTACCAAATTATCGCGCCGACTGTCTTTAGGATCACCTTCGCCGGAGAAATTCAGCCTTCTCTTGAAACCACTTTTTTCAGTTCAGGGGTAACTCGAGAATCTTATCTGAGGGTTCACTTCTTCAGCGAAGAGCTTCCACTTGCTTGCAGCTCAAATTCTGTAAAGAATTCTGGACGTTGACATAAGAAATATGGTGATAGAAGGAAGTGAAACTTAATCTTCAACATTTCAGCTCGCGTCATCGGCCAGGAACCGGAATGTACAGAAGATCTAATGACCGAAGCCACGAAACAGTATTACGACAACTTCCAGCCTTCGAACATGCCTAAGGCTTCTTTTGCTTAATATTCACAGTATAATGGGATGAGCATAAATTATTTCCCTCCTCAACAGACAACCATGAAAAACAAAAAAAAATTAGAGTAAATATATGTACAGAAGATATGTACAAGTCTACAGTGAAATCAGATCAGAAGGGGGGGAGAGACATGGTTTTGTAAAGTTTACAATGAAAATGGAGCACATCAAGTCTAAATATCAGCCAAAAAATATATAAAAACAAAACAAACACTACCCAGAATAATGAGGAGAGGGTTATAATTGTAAAAATACATATGAACAATGCAGCAATCACTTTCACCCGTATCTTACGCTGTTGATCTTCTTGAGTCGCTCTTCCACTGCTTCCTTCACTTCAGACATGTAAGAGTCGTACTGCTGCAAAACTTATTTCAGACAGTCGAGGTGCGTTATAAGGTTCGTTTTTTATTAACTACAGTGTTACTCGCTGCAGACGCTGGGGCGAGTCAGCGCGCCGAGTTTGACGCCGGCGTCATTCCGTTCTCCACAAATTATGGAAGCCGTTAGGCGGTGGAAAGCAGGCTGATGCGGTGCCGCGAAAGCAGGCTATTGCGTGCAACTTTCCCTACCACCCCGCCCCCCTCCTGATCGCCCGAGCGCCTCAGCGAATGTTTTTCAGGCATTTCTTCTGGTGAGATTGTGAATGCAGTCCACTATCTAACTCAAGTAGCACATACAGTCTCGTTTGCTTCGGATGATGGAGCGTGTCAGCGCGGCTGTGTCTGGCGCGCCAGCCCGCTCCCTTCCAGTAGCTAAAGCGGGTAGGCGAACGATATGATGCAATCTAGCCGCTTGCCGAGAAAAAAATTTGGAGCAGCGCTAACACGCCCAGTGATCCGCAGTGAACAAGCATGTGGATTCAGACCTGATCGACCTGCAAACCAACCATCTTGACAATAACGATTTTTTCTGTCTCTTAGACCCCCCCCCCCTTGCTCTCCTAGTCTATCCTATCCATCAACGCCATTATGTTCTTCTCTTGCTATTAGGTTGTCCGGAAAGTTCTCAGCGTTTTGTGCACCTATTTTTTGTACATTCACTGCTGATTAAAAACTCATTCTGCCTTGCTTCTCAGTAGCACATCCTGTAGAGAATTTCTTGCGCTATCTGATGGTATAATTGCCGTTTCACCATTGCTTGATAAACCCCTTTTTTTCAAGATTTTTTCAAGCATGTGAAAAGAGCACTTCGGACGATTTTTTCTTCGACTATAAATTGGGGCAATCCGCAATCGAAACAGCTCAACAAATTAACCAGGTGTGGGGGCCCAATAGTGCTAGAAAGCACTGTGCGGCAATGGCTCAACAAATTTCGTTCTGGAGATTTCAGCCTTGAAGCCCTCATAGCGGTCGACCTAAAGCAATATCTGACGAGGATTTTAGGGGGATTTTGGAGGCTGACCCATCCCAAACAGTTCGAGAGATTGCAGAAAAGCTAGGCTTGGCAAATCCACTGTTGCAGATGGTCTGGAACGCATTGGGAAGGTGAAAAAACTCGACAATTGGGTGCCCCACAATCGGAGTGACCGGCAGGAATCGGCACGTCTCGAGGTTCCTTCTGCATTGCTTTTGCGCAGCAGAAACGACCTGTTTTTGGGCCGAATTGTCACCTGTGATGAAAAATGGGTCATGTATGATAACAGGAGACGTTCCGGACAGTGGTTGGATTTCGACGAACCACCGAGGTAATTTTCAAAGCCGAACCCTCACGAAAAAAGATTCTGGTCACGGCTTGGTGGTCATCGGCTGGTGATCCACTATAACTTTTTATCACCAGGCCAAACCATCACAGCAGAACCCTACTGTGAAGAAATCGACGAATTGTACCGAAAATTTTGTCAGATGCAGCCAACACTTATCAAAAGAAAGGGTCCGATTCCTTTGCATGACAACGCCCGCCCACACGTTTCACAAATCACTATCCATAAATTGAACGAATTGGGGGTTGAAGTTCTACCTCAACCGCCATATTCTCCAGACCTTCCACCAACCGAATATTCCTTTTCAAACATTTTCAGAACTTCCTTGCTGGGAAATACTTCATCAAACAGGACCAGGCAAAAAAGCCTTCGTGGATTTCGTGAATTTTCGACCACCCAGTTTTTTACTTTGATGGGATTTCTCGACTGCTGTCACATTGGCAAAAGTGTGCTGATTCGAATGGTGCCTATTTCGATTAAATCCGATGAGTATTAAAAACGATCGTTTAAAGTGAAACACCCAAAACGCTGAGAACTTTCCGGACAACCTAATATATGCAACTTCTTTCCTTTCTTGGCCAACACTCTGACCCTCCAGGCATTTTTTGCATGTCTGTTTAATTAGTTCATCCTATAGATACACTGCGACTGATAAAAAAGAAAACACCTCAGGCGTCTGAGCTGCAAGGCCTTCCAACTTCTTCACTCCATCAGCGATCTCTTCAAACGTGAGGGAATCGTCATATCGATCGAAGCAGCGAAACACTTCTACAACTTTCTGATTTCGCACCGTTGGAGGAACCTTAAAAGTGCTTGAATGATCGTGCAACAGAAATTTCAGGCGCTGTTCGCTCTAGGAAGGAGGGGAGCATCTTACTAGTTTGCTAGTTATTAATTTGTCTCACCTTGGTGAGGCCTGTAAGCCCTGTAAACTCATGGAATGGTATGAGCTCCATTATGTATTACGGGAGGCTGTCGTTTGGCGCGATCTCATACATTGCTGTTGCCGCATTTAATCAGGTAATGGTGGTACGCGCCTGCCGAGTTGGTTGGCTTATCGGCATCATTGAAATGAACTATGGGATTCTAGCAATTGACAGCTAAAGGGTGATGGTTTGAACTTCCCATGGAATTGAATGGAGACCTAGGTTCATTGATAGAGCCTCGAATGGTGATTACGAACATGCAGAGTAAAAAAGCTACGGGGACATCTGTGTCAATTTTGAGTTCTGGCTCGTAAGCGCTGCTGATCGATGCCTCGGCAGTGCCACCGTGGCCTCGTGGTAATGGTCTCGCTTTCAAGTCAAACGCATGCGGGTTTGCATCCGGTTGGCGCGAAAATTTTTGCTTCCGTATAAGAGCTTCAACTCTAATTTTCGAAATTCTTCCGAATTTACGGCCCAGCAGGGCAAGTAGATCAAGTACATCAAGTATACGACATACTCGATCTAGTATGGATTTGGTCATATCTGCCCTCTCTGAACATATTACCCATCCGACAATTCAAAGTTTTAGCGAGAAATTCGTTCATGGGAGATTTCGACCCCTGAACACGAATATCACTTCCTTCGACGAAAAAACGCTCGTCTGGCCAAATTGCGATTCTGGGCAAAACTTTGAATTGTCGGATGGGTAATATGTTCAGAGGGCAGATATGACCAAATCCATACTAGATCGAGTACGTCGTATACTTGATGTACTTGATCTACTTGCCCTGCTGGGCCGTAAATTCGGAAGAATTTCGAAAATTAGAGTTGAAGCTCTTATACGGAGCGAAGCAAAAATTTTCGCGCCAACCGGATGCAAACCCGCATGCGTTTGACTTGAAAGCGAGACCATTACCACAGTAAGGCACTTGAAACTGCCAGGCATTGATCAGCAGCGCTTACGAGCCAGAACTCAAACTTTGACCACCCAGATCTCTGGGAGGTCCCCGTAGCACTTTTAATCTGCATATTCGTAATCAGCATTCGAGGCTATCGATGTACCTAGGTCTCCATTCAAAGTTCCATGGGAAGTTCAAACCATTCCCTTGTACAGCGTCTAGACTTCGCGATGGTGACGCGCGTCACAACAAAGTCTGAACGCTGCCTTACAACACCGGTGTTGCTGCCTCCTTACCAGGCATATTTAGTTGGGATAATCTCATAGTTTGAAGTTTTGAACAGGCTTCTCAGCTCAGAAGACCAAGAAGACGGTTTCTCTGACATGTTATGACAAGTATGTAGCAATGTGTTCCCGCCAAACGACATAGACCTTGTATGACTGCACTACCTTTACACGCACCATTTCACGAATTCGCAGAAGTTTGCAGGTCTAAACGTCGATTGGAGCTAGTAAGATACCCCACCCCTTGAGACGAATAACGCCCATTTTCAATTCCTACACATACCTTTATTGAGTCCGCTTTCATCAAGTTGAGGCTAGGATTCATTGTAGCACTGAAACTAAAATGTCATCCTTCGATCGCATACAGGAGGCTGTGATTCTAATCGAGCATCGCAAATCGTAATTAGTAAATAAGTACTGACCAAGACAGTGGGCGCTGTTCAACAGGTTTACACTGTTCCTTAAGATTCTGTAACAGCTCTTCCATGAACTTTTCGAGAAAATCCAATGACTTTTGGTAATTATCCTGAAATGGCAGTGAACCAGCATGCTGCAGAAAAAACGACATGCTAAAAAACATCAGAAAGATGATCACTAACTTGATCCCGTCCCAGAAGGGATTTTTGTGCCTTGAATAATGCTTCCAAGAAATTTTCTGCATGTGTACCAGCAATCTCGTACTTTTCAAGCATCTGCTCGATGCGATTTTGCCATTCTACTGTGGATGTCTGCAGAGCCGCTTTCGCATTAGGATCATTCTGAACTATTGCAGCACAAATAATGACTCGAATGAATATGTGCAGAGTTTAGCATGGAGTGAGATTCCATTACAATATGACGTGAACGTGATGTGAAAAAGAAGTTGGGCAGAGAGGACAAAGGGCCGGCTAGAACAGATAGTACTTATTACTTAGTAGCTTTGTAGCAAGAGCAACAAGGAGTAACGTACCAATAATAGTCTAGTGATTTGCCGCCTTTTCAAAACTATCTGTTGAGCCGCATTCATACTATGCATTCGGGAGAATCGGAGAATGTGCGCTAAAGGAGTAGACGATGTTGAGAAACAGTCGCCAACGAAACTTCTGCAACAGATGAGCAGCAGTGTGTCCCGTAAGTTTCAGCATTCACTTGTTTCAGCTTTCTGTGCCAAAAAAAGTCAGAAAATGAAATTGACATTTTCTCAGTTTCTGATAGCCCTTTACAATTTCAAATGCACGATCCGAGCACTCTTATATTAATCCGGCTAGGGTTGGCATGATCTCAGTGAAATGTCTAGATTCGTCTCTTCTCAGACTTTGTAACATTGCAGCCAGTTGGACCCGATATTGGTATCGGAAACTAGTGACACCTGTGAGAGTGCGTACCACCGTCTTTACGGGGCTATAGTCAATCCGGCCAGTCAATCTGAGGTCAGTTCTAGAGCTTTCTTTTCCCGAAAATTACATTGTGTCTCTTGGAAATTGTTAAAAAGAGGGCTCATTCAAGGAATACGTAATTAGGGCGCTCATCCTATACCATGCTGGTTTTGCTACTCGATACTTCGAGCGTAGGAGAATGCGCACAAAGGGAACTGTTGCAAGGGCGGGAGAGCA